ATCTGCTTCTGTAAGAAGCGGGTGCCGTACTTCATCATTGAAGAGATTGCACGTCGGTTTCCGGACTTAGAAAACTAGAGAAAGACATCCATTTCGCTCCGCGGTACAATGACAGGTGCGTGGCTGCCATTGAGAGCAGGGTAGGAGTCGTGTATGACGTTATCCGTTTCGGGATGCAGCGATTGTTCTGTACGGGCGCCGGAGGCCGATCACTTTGATCTTACAGTTGACGAGTCGCGGCGTGCTTTATGGATGCTCTCCACAGTCTCTGCGGCTTTCACCAGAGCTGCTGCTCATCTTTTTTGTGGTCTTCCTTTGTCGCTCCTCTGCTTTTGTGCAGCTCCACGATGGCGAATCAGCTTGAGAGTCTAGATCATTCTGGTAACCATAGCAATCTCTGCTTTCATGGCAACATCATAAAGATGTTCAACGAAAGGTCTACATTGCCCCCTCACCTTGCTGATGGCGGCATTTTCCCAGAGCGCAGCGAGAAAAGTGAAGTGGCCTTAATTGATGACATTTTTGAGGCTTCCCTTCTTGAACTGTGCGGCTGTCTCTTCTCGCATCGAAACATGGAATCTTGCGCGAAGGAGGCGATGGCCTGATCATATGCAGAACTTAGAGACAACAGCGACGTTGGTCAGGCAGAATATTCGATGGAGAGCGATGTTATCGATTTTGCCACGCAGTTGCACACCAAAGTATGAGCTTTAGTCTGTGAGCAGTGCTACTGAAACATGTGACCTCTCACCCTGCTCATTCCGTTCCGTGATCCATCATTTCCATGCGAAGCTCCTCAGCCGTTCTTCTAAGCCGTTCCTTGCCGTTGCAATCGCGGACGATGACGAGAAATAGAAATGATATGTGGCAGAAGATGTGTTCATTGGTACCACTTCTTAACGAAGCCTTGGTATTCCTAGACATCATCACATCATTTGTCAGGCTTCTGTTTCTAATTATACAACAGGAGATGATCACACGATGTCAAGTGTATAAAAGCCGTACATTCCTTCAGCACTATTGCCTGTGTGCAGCATGCATGCAAATCACTATCGTCAGTGTTTCTACGTTCAAAGTCTGCTAGTTGCTGGCGGGTCGCATTGGTAGTTTCTTTATTGCTTCTGCGTGCTTGGACCTCACATTCTCCTTCTTGTGAGCCACTCTTGTCTACTCTGCTATCAACATAGCGCCGCGCTTCCAAAATTATGTTGTGTGTCAGAAAATCGCGTTCTGTTATATTTTAATTGCCTATGAGAGGGCAGGCCGCTTGTGCAGTCAGTTGTATCGCCTTCTCTTCACTGCTGAGTAAATACAGTTTCAACCCTTTCTCAAAACTGGAGTCTTGAGGAACGCGCGATTTTGCAGCCAGGGCAGCCTTTCCAGCCATTGATACCTTCGCTAAGAACCTACCAGGTGAGAAAAGTTGCCATGAATGCTTCTGTAAAGACAAACCGCACGACATACCACTCCCATGAATATTGGTCACTGTCGTGGGGTGGGAGAACGGGTCAGCAGCTGCAGTAACGTACACTTTGCCTGA